ACTACCGCTCCTTTTAGAGTACCTATCTGGACTCTGGTCATGCCCTGTTCTGCGCCAATCTTACCTTACTTTTCAGTGGACAACGAAGTGACCGCCATCAAAGGATTGATGTCAGCAAGTTGGTTTCGACTTCTGTTGCAAGTAAGTATCGAATCGAGCTAGCTTCTAGGCTAGCTACCATTCCACCGAAAAGTATAGATGAGCATTGGTTGCAACTGCATGACGCCATGAAAATGGCGAGTAGAGCCGCTTGCGGCTTCGCGAAACGTCCCACTTATAAGCACTGGGCTTCTTCAGGTCCTTGCAACTCATCGAAGCCCATCGGTCTACTCCGGGTGATCGTGAGTCTGACCACAAACGAAGGCTGTTACGTAATGAAATCGGGCAAAGCTTGCGTAAGGACCGAGAAGCCTGGTGGTCGGAGCGTGCTAATGAGTTGGAAGCAGTAACTGCATCTGGTAACTACCGGAAGCTCTTTCCACTCATCCGAGCCACTGGCAGCAAGAAGTCTGGTGTGAGCGAAACAATTTGCGAGGATTACGGGATGGCAATCACTAGCATCCACCGACGTCTTGTACGATGGGCAGAATTCTTAGAAGGGCAGTTCGACTGGTCTGCTGCTCTGGCAACATCGGTCAGACTGTCCTGCCCTCCATGGCCAGTGACGACTGATGCACCAAATGAGGCGGGAGTCCGCAAGGAACTCCAACTCTTGAAACGCTACAAATCACCGGGCCCAGATGACTTACCTCGGCCCTTTTTAAAGATGGTAGTGACTTTCTGACTAAGGAATTGACGACGTTGTTTACAAAGGTTTGGGAGCTGGAGAGTGTACCAATGTCGCGGAATGAGTCGATAGTTGTCCCTATCTTTAAAAAGGGTTCACGTCGTTCCTGTAACAACTATCGGGGGATAAGTCTACTTCCGACTGCGTCCAAGCTATTGGCTTCCGTCATACTCTGTGGGTTGTTCAAAACCCGAGAAAGATTGACTCGCGAGGAGCAGGCTGGTTTTCGTTCTGGTCGAGGATGTATTGATCATATCTTCACCCTCCGCCAAATGATGGAACACCGTCATACTTATCAAAGGCCAGCAATCGTAGTGTTTCTTGACATTAGGGCTGCCTTCGATTCGTTGGACAGGACTGTTCTCAGGGATTGTCTATTGAAGAAGTCTGTGCCTGAGAAGTTTATTAACATCCTAAAGGCCCAAGCCATGCAATCCGCACTTAGTCAGTTGGCAATCAGTGTCCGTAGGTATGTTATGTGCTTTGCATCTTCTTAGTGCAAAGTACTTCTACAAGACTGGCAGGATTCTAATCCTGTACTCACCCTGGATGGTGAGCAGATAGAAATAGTCGAGAAGTTCGTGTATCTAGGTAGCTGCATAAGTGCTGGTGGTGGCGTGAGTGATGAGATCAATGTACGTATAGTGAAAGCCAGATCGGCTTATGCCAATCTGGGCCATCTTTGGCGCCTTCGTGTTGACTTAGAATATGCAGATGACATAGTTTTATTTGGTGAAGACGCTGACAAAATGCAGAGTCTTCTGACCACTCTAAGCAACAATGCAAGCATGTTCGGGATGCGATTCTCTCCCTCGAAATGCAAAATGTTGCTTCAGGATTGGGTTACATCGACACCCGAACTAGTGATAGGGAGTGAATTAGTTGAGTGTGTCGACCGCTTCACTTATCTTGGAAGTCTCATCAGCCCTTGTGGTTTGGTGTGTGACGAAATCTCAGCACGGATACAGAAGGCTCGACTAGCTTTTGCCAACTTGCGTCATTTATGGCGTAGGCGAGATATCCGTCTATCAACCAAAGAACGTGTTTACTGCGCAGCAGTTCGTTCCGTCCTACTTTATGGCAGTGAAACATGGCCGGTAAGAGTAGAGGATATCCGTAGGCTACTAGTATTTGATCATGGGTGTCTTCGAAACATTGCTCGTATATCATGGGACCATCGAGTAAGTAACACAGTTGTTAGGAAACGGGTACTAGGTAAGGATGGCAAATCAATTGATGAAGTAGTGAAACTTCATCAGTTGAGATGGCTGGGACACGTGTTACGTATGCCCAACGACCGACTGCCTCGACGTGCTATGTTCAGTGGTATAGGAGTAGGTTGGAAGAAAGCTAGGGGCGGCCAAACCAAAACATGGCACAAGTCCATGAAGTCACTGACAAGTGGACTGAGTCGTGTTGGTAGGTGTAGACTACCTGGTTGGGGACCGCGAGATGATAGCAACCGATGGTTAGAGACCCTGAATGACATGGCTCAAAATCGTTTGCCATGGCGCAGGTGCATGCACTCTTTGTGTTCTCCCAAATTCCAATCTTCTGAATTCTTCATGTCCCTTTTTTCCTGTTTCCAAATTTATTTCACTGGATTATACTCTTTAAATAACATCTCCAAACCCTAATCTTCCCGATTACTGCTTATACTCTTATAACCTCTACCACTACGGGATTTGAATCGACAACTGCATCTCTGTGCTAATGTGGTGTGGCAACTCGAACTGATGTACGTACGTACGAAGTTCTACGTTGTTACTGACTGACTGACTATGGTTAATAATTGACGGCTTCGATCTGTACAAGAGATACTTAGAGGACAAAAATATCAACGTCAGCGACATCCTGGCCGTGTTCGATAACTCTTCAGTCAATCAAGGTCACGATGGTACTAGAGTCAGATTTGGAATTCCACTTATTAAATGTTTTGGTTAAAATGAAACCTGACGGTTCCCTACAAAGACCGATATGTGATGTGGTCAATACATGGAATTCCAAAGCTGGGTCCCATTGAAGCAAAAGAGAAACCTGGTCTGTTTTCTCTGTTCGAGGGCTAGACGCATCTGTAACGAGGATACAAACGATAACGAACTTGATAAACTACGGCAGACACTGGTTCATTGGAAAAAATATGAAGCCAAAACAACAACGTGAAGGAATGTCCGCAGCACCAAAGAACACTCTCTTCATGATCATTCAGTTTAAAGGAGGCATTGTAGCAGAAGTTCTGAAAAACAGACTTTCAAGATCTCTGAGGAAAACGTACTACTCGTTTGAACTTCTCATTATCTTTTCTAGTCGGCCTTTGATCCAAAGTTATGTTGAAGATAAGCGCCCGCTTTGGACCAAATCAATGTGCATCTATCAGTTTAGTTGCTCATGTGGAGCAGGTTATATTGACTTCACAAAGCGAGCTCTTTCAAAATGCATCTCCAAACATTATCCTAATTGGCTGCCCAAGTGATTACAGAAGTCAGTCAATAATAGCTCAGTCTAAAAGCATATAGTCAATTCCAGCCACTCCGCTTCACTAAATATCTCCTTCAGAATCATAAATTAACTTTTCGTTTCAAGATTGTCTTTTGGAGTAGATAAGAATAAAAGAACAAACGGAACTGTGGTTTTTAAATATTCGACTTGGAGCTATAAACGGTTCAATGCACATCGGTAACAGCTCATTTATATTGTTTTGCATGATGTTAGATAGTTGGAGTTTCTGAATGAAACTAGGATACGTAAATTGTATATCTTGCTTATTAGTGCTATTAATGCGTTATCTGTGTTGTTTTGATTATAGTTACTTACGATGCCAATTTGATATTGGATATACTTGGTTGTGTTTAGGTATATTCATGTTTGTCCATATAAGGGGAGATAACCAACTCGTGGATTGATACGGATGATTTTTGTGTAAATATCTGTACAAACCCTCACTAATTAACACTTTTATGTACCTACTGTATTTTGTGTATATAATCATCAGCAAGGTGCGTGAAATATTTAAATTTATCTTCTCAAGTGTTCAATAACAAAAGAAGTATTTGGGAAGAAAACCATTATTGTTATCATATCATTTTGTCTTTACTCCTAAGTTTCACAACGAAAGTCTGTGCAAACTAATTAAAATTGACAGTATTTTATTACGGTATGCGTACATTTGTTTGCATGAATTATTTTGTAAAACACGATATTGTAGCAGATAGTAGATAATCTTTGAATCTATATAAATTCATATATTTATATCAGCGCACGAAGTCACTCAATGTCTGGTTATCTATATCACTAGATCCAGACTTAGTTAGGATCCGCGAAATGATTATAATTTGTGATTCATGACCAACTGAATGAAACATATAAGGTGTTTTTCGTTATGAGATTGTAGGTTTGCACTACTTAGAAGTGTGGGCTGAAAGAAAGCTAGGGACGGCCAAATCAAAACATGGAACCACTCCATGACGTCACTTACGATTGGACCTAGCTATATTAATAGGTACAACCTACCTTGTTAGGATCCGTGTGATTATCGTAACCAATGGTTAGGGACTTTGAATGATATGGCTGAAGATCTTTTGCAATGGCTCAGGTGTGTCTATTCATTTTCTTCCCCAAGTCTATGAGACTCTAATTCCTTCATGGCTTAGTTCGTTTTTGTTTCACCAATTTATATTTTCTTTTCGAGTCGTATCTTCGATGCCTACACTTTCCTAGTATCACTGAAATTGTTACTACCTTCACTATTCCACGATTTCTCTTGACAGTCTCGTTGCACTGTGCTAATGGAGTATGGCGACTTGAACCAATGTACATACGTACCATGATGTACTTTTCAACTGACTAACTTAGAAGTTCCAGATGTTTTACTCATTCACTGTCCACTTGTTTATAATGTTTCTCCAAATAGTGTTGGTTCACAATAGGATATATATCTCTTTCGATCAAAGCATCTGAGCAAGTTTACAAACAACTCATAGAAGAATGAACATTTAGTCATGTTTAAGCTGAATTGCTGCGTGGGTTTCAGTTTAATCAAAGCATAAGATCTAAGCTAAATATTTAATAATTTTAAGAAAATAACTGTAAATATCACACTAACCACATATGCGGTTAATTCGGCCTATCAATTTTTGATAAGCTTTAGAGGTTTAAACACCATATCGGTTAGTAACTTGTGACCAGTTTTATTTTTCACTTTTTTTTCTTACAGATAAACATGAGGATTCTTTTCATATACGTATTAAATTCAAAATATCTAATTCACCAAGTGGTCAGAACCATCCAGTCAGTGTTAAAATCAAACCTCCATGTAATAGTGATAACACGCCCAATAGATTAAGTAATCCTGAAAACTCCAATGACACATGCGATACTGATGTCATAAATAAGGACCATCCTAATAGCGTAGCTAATCGTCGTATACTTCGTAAATGTCGACAAATGTTAAGTGATGATTCATCATCATTAAATGTTACAAATTTTAAAAATTCAAACAATCGAACAATAGCCTTGCGAAAACGAATGCAAAATCACTTTATGGATTCGGGAAACCGTAATAAATCCCCATCAGTGCATTCTAATTCTTGCAAAACGAATAACAAATTAAAATATACACGTAGATATTCACTTGATAAATTAAGTCACAATATGAATGTTTTACACGATTACACTGTAACACATGTGCAATCCCAACTAACACCAACTCAGTTTGGATTGAATGACAAAAGATTTCCTACATACACATGTCATTACCAACCTGTGGATGTGTATACAGAAAGCAGCGCAACCCAACTGAGTGACTCAAACTTGTCTGATCCTCATACAGGATATAATAAAGCACCGGTACCGTTCGCGCTTACACAATATTTGGGTAAGTAGATATTCTCCCCAATTTAACCGTTGAAATCTCTTTCTCTATTATTAATTACTCTAGATTTTACATTACATGATTTTATAGGTTAGTTAATACACCTATCCTATTAAGGTTGCTGAAGCTAATTTCCTCTATATCTGACTCCAATAAATGATATCCCGTTAACTGAGTATTTAAGGTAGGCTAAATCTCCTAGTACAATTATGGATTTACTCGAGATTATCCACAAGCGTACAGCGAGCAAGCACACTGTGAAACCACGACAGTATATGTGAGTGTGTGTGAGTGTGTGTTAAAAATCCATATAAATGTTTGAGTGTCAATCAAGTGTGGATAAATTATTGATTATCTGTATGTTGCAACCAATAGGAGAATAGATTGAGGTTGATGTGCAGACACGCGCTCAATCATACACACACAGAAATGAACATAGTGAATTAAGTGTCTGAATTACAGTGAGTAGACAAATGATACAATAGTTGAAAGGGCTTGCTACAAGGTTATTAATAAACGTCGTCCTATAGTGATTTGCACCATAATATTCATTTTTGTTATCGATTGCTAATGAATCTGTTGTCTTGAGTGCTGTTAAAGGTATGGGGGCGGTAATCACTTCCCGATTGTCCATACAGTGGAAGGGTTCTTCTCGAGATACCTGAAGAGGAAATTAGATTAAAGGTCGTCTTACTGACCTGAAAGCGTGATCGCAGTGTCCAAGGGATAACTGCTCGAGGTCGGTTACACACAACCTTTTTGTGGGTAATTTTCGTGTTAGCTCCGTACTTGTTGAAACCTTACCGCTGGAGACGGATATCCGTGAGATTAGGCGAGATGTGCACTTTTAGGGTCGACCTTTCTAACCCTACCCCTCCTTGTGCGAAGGCAGCATCGTTGTTATGCTGGTTTTCTGAGGGAAACAGCTTATTGCCGTCAAACCTTTGTATAGTCAGCAGTACGACTTCGCCTTCGGACCTTAGTTTGCCGCTTTTAATCTTACCGTTCTTCAACCGACCTGTCTGGCATGGTAGGACCTTGATGAACTATTGTTCCAGCCAGTATAACTCGATTGGTTCACCACTTTAGACAAGCCCGACCACCACATCAAGGTAGCTAAGGAGCTGATTATTCTGTTTACTCTCAAACTCAAACTGATGGTGCAATATTAACTTTTTTTTACCGTCAACGTAACTACAGGGAAAACTGAATGGAGTTACGATAAAGGATATTTATATCATCGTTAAATATATGGTGAGATTATTTGCTAATTATGGATTGGAAAGTGGGTAAACTATTACTTAAACATGTCTTCCTTGAAGGCTTGTCAGTCTACACAAATTTCAACAGTTAGCCATTATCAACGTACAATCTGAGGAAAGTGTGTATTTCCCCAAGTTACCATGTTAGCACGACGAGAGTGAAGTAAGATGAATACCAAAAGAGATCAAAATAATATAGGAAGAATGATATTAGGAGTGACTGGACATTAGGAATATAGAACAAAAAGGAAAAGCAGAGAGGTGTTGTGTATGATTGAGTACTGGAATTCAAGATCAAGACGACGATTAGGGGTGAATACATCTGCTTCGTTGTGAACAATTTTGAACCATTGACAGGGGTTAATGCATGGACATCAAACAGGTAGTCTGCACCTACAAAAACGGATCAAGCCAAAATTAATTGACTTCATGGAGTGATGAAATCTCTTGATTTGGCTATCCATAGTTTTCTTTCAACCTACTCCTACACCAGTAAACATCGCTCATCGAACGAGGCGGTGGTTAGACGTACGTGACACATACCCTAAATTTCTCAGTCAATGAAGATTTACAACTTCACCAATCTATTTGCCTAGTACCTATGACTAACTTCATCATCATTCACTCCATAAAACACGAACAGTGTTTAGAGGTTAGCTATGATTAAAAACCTACACAGTTATCGTTATCCGTATGGTGAGCTGGGATGCCATAAAACTCACCTAAGTATTTCTCAGTCTGACACAGTTTACCACCTTGGATGTTAAAATCACTTGTTGAGATTATCACTCCTGAGCTCCTGTTTTTTTTCTGAAGCAGATTGTTCAGTTTCCTGTAAAACTCATTTCCATCGGAGCCGCAATTAGTAGGGCTACTATTCCAGTGAGACAGACCAGATATAAGCGGCTGCCAGTAGGAATCTAATCAAAAAGTATCTCTTTATCTTTCAAACTTAGTGCCACATATATGCCTGCAAGATCACGAGAATTTACTGTCGCGTCCGCAAATGCACTTGAAATAATTCGCGTTGGCTCTCTATACTGGCTAGTTGAGGTCAAGTTGATGACCATGCTAGGATCCTCAATATGTTTCGGTTATATCTAGAGCTTAGATTCTTAATATACTGCTTATGACTTGAGCACTCGAACTCTTGAACACTCCCAAGTCGCAAATGAGAAAACAAGTGAAAGGAGTGTTATTCCAAACAGTGTCAATTATAGTGAAGATTCCCATTTTGCCGTTTGGTAAATAAAGAAGAAGCGAATTGAGCGAAATTTCTTTTCAACTAGTTTTTCATCATGGCTCTACACTAATATATATATGATTTACAATAATGATATAATACTCATCGAGTGGATACGTTACGTAATAATTACATAATGACATTTGAATTAATATTGAGTAATTGGAAGAAAGAGAATTATTAATAATCAAAGTAATTATTCAAAATCAAGACGTTGCTATGTTGCGTAATATATGAAAAAGAGAGAAAGAACAGAATTTTTTAATGGATGGTCAATAGAATAGTAGTTACGTAAGAATCAAGAGATGAATGTTGAGAAGTTCTAAAGTTCAAAAGTAACAAACAAAATTACAAAAGTAAAAAAATAAAACAAAAAAAACAAGTGGAAGAAGTATACAAAATAGTTAATTTAAATGTCATTATGTAATTATTACGTAACGTATCCACTCGATGAGTATTATATCATTATTGTAAATCATATATATATTAGTGTAGAGCCATGATGAAAAACTAATTGAAAAGAAATTTCGCTCAATTCGCTTCTTTATTTACCAAGTGTCAATTATGGTACAAAACTGTCAGGTATTTAAAGTTCTTAGAAAAAAAACGAAATCATAATCATAGTCCTCTAATCCTCATTCAGGGGGTTATTAGCATTTGTCCAACAAGGGAAGCTACACGTAATGATTCTGGAATATTCTTCCAAAAGATGATTGGATGGAATATCTTCAGCTTTTCTTGAGCTTCTTAGAGCTTCCTCGAGTTCACCTGTGGACTGTACTCACAGTTTCATAAACACTATGGATCGGGAATATAAGACTCTAGTACCTTAGCTAGTGACATCTGTCGTCCGATTTAACATAGGGTTCGGACGTTGAAAGCCCCAACATGTATTTTGAAGTAGGATTTCAAGAGATCTGAGATAGCATTCTGTAGACTGCAATTGTTAGCATCGGTGGGACATATGAAAGAAGTCAAGGACAGAAGATGAAGGTATATGGTGGAACTAGTAGAACTCTTGCGTAATGAAGATAGGGTTTGATTATGAAAAAGGCAATTTTGTGTGCTGTTAGAGGCATGAGGGCGATCATCACTTGTCATGTCCACATTGTCAAAGCATACTTAACTTGAGGTCTTAGTAGTAGCTTACTCCTAATTACTAAATTACCTAGATTAGTTTGATCGGTTTAAACACCTTTGGTATTGTATTTGCTTCCGTTGTAATAGGGAGCAGGTTGACAACCGATAAGTTGGATAAACGAATTAAATGAAAGCCAAGTATACATATATTTAACAATACCTTGAACCAAACCATAGTATCTGTAGCTAATGCGACGAGATCATCAAAAAACACAAAACCATCCATGAGTATCGCTGTTCAAAGTTCACAATCATTTATAAGAGTGGATACAAAATAGTCAATCATACTTCAGTTATATACTTTACCGTCAAGCGCTCCTCAGATATCCTCTTAACACTACTCAAAAAGATAGATGTATGGTCTATATGAATAAAATGTAACACTATAAGAAACCTGAAAAGGCAACTGAATCGGAAGTACTCTTTATCACTTGGGAGCGTAGCCGTAGTGCCAAAGAGATAACTACCAGTAACATGGCTTTTTTTCAAGTGGTTTTAGATAAGTTACCTCTGTACTGTTAAGGCGTTAACGTTGACGACGAAGTTGTATGTTTGTTTATTTATTTGAACACAAATATTGGTACAAGGAGGCACCAAATAGATATGCGCCATATAAATCATTCGATTTGTGTGTGGGCTGTGATACTGCCCAAGTGACCAGACCGAAGCAGGTGGTTTTCTTAAGGAGCCACACCCGGAGCCTTCGACTTAAAGATCTGATCCACAAGGCAGTGAAGAAAAGTCAGAAGATGCAGTCACATGGTAGCCGGTGACCAATAACTGGTTCATACTCCATTTGTTCCGTCAGGATACTGGAGCCCATGTACTCCACTGGTTTGCAATCAGGGTTTTCCAACTCCCGTAGGTAAATCCTCCATATCCACCAACTCGGTTAAAGCTCAGAAGTTGGCGTTTCGTCCTCTTAATTCCGTAAACAACATGAATGCCGCGAGATGGTAGTGATTATGACTTCCGTGACAGTGGCTGTATACGCGTGGTCATGTGAGAGGATTTGGAGAGTTAGAGCTAACTCCTCACTCGACCATACCAGGGCATTTGTGTATATCTTCCCTAGTCCCTTCCGGTCTTTGTAAGAATTTAGTGTTCCTGAAGGTTCTGATTTTCTGAGGGTAACATCCTACTTCCGCCACACTTCTATACAATCCGTAGTACCGCTTTGCCTTCGGACCATGAGCTTTCTACTCACCATTCTCGAATCGACGTTCCTGGCATAATAGGATTTATAGAAACAAGTTTTCTAGCCACTATAACTCGAATGGGTTACCATGGAGAAGCTGTAGAAGAGGTGGAAATTCTTTACACACTTGGAGAGTATCATTGATAAACAAGGGCGATTTGATGCTCATGTGAAGGCACGGATGGGGAAATCAAGAGCAGCATTACTACAGTTGAAGAATACGTATGACTCAAAACGACTCAGCCAACACCAAAGTCAGGTTTTTCAATGCAAACGTCGGTAGAATTTTATTATGCGGGGTTTAAACTTGAAGAACTACTACAACCATCAATATAAAGGTACAAGTATTTATAAACAAGTGTCTACACAAGACATTAAATCCATTGGACATGCACTGTCAGCAATAACTTATTGTGGCAGAGGAAGATCAACCCTCCGTTGAAGGGGAAACTAAGAAAAGACACCTGGGTTGATAGAACACATCGCGGTAATAATCAAACTGCATCCCAAAACACGCCCTAACTTGGAATCTTGAAGGCAAAAGGAATGGAGATAGATCAAGAAACACGTAGCTTCGGTAATTGGAGATCGACATCAAAAGAATAGCGCTTGGGGACGACTTGTAAGAAGGTCTAAGGTCGGAGTAGGTTGGAGTATGCTGGTCGGTGACCTATGATTCACGGGTGTTAACAGGAGTAATTAAGGGTCACTGTGATAGGCAAGTCCGACTATCATGTGAAGGTTGATGCTACGGTCTGATATATTCACCAACCTAATAATGTCCTTGAAATGAAAGATTTCTTCATGTGATTATCAGATTAAGAAGCTATGTCCTTAATGAATGTTTAGAATTGAAGAGGGATAGCAAAATCGGGCAACTCAGATTAATTCTATTCTTAGATGGGAAGTTCGCCATTATCCCTTCCGATGACATTTGCTACAACAATGCTCTTTATGTGGGCAGAACCTATTATAATGCCAACCGCCACAAGACCAACATGGGGATGCGGGCTGATTGTCTGTGTGCGATAGTTTTCTTGGGTAGGAATCTTTCTTTCCGCTTACAGCATGAACGTATGGCAACTGGCCATTATTTTCAACCATGAAAGTGTCATGCTTTAGGTTTACCAATCTCTGGCCCTCTGTATTTACTTCTTGTAGTGTCATATTCGGGCATTGTTCAATTTTACTCAAAATTCTGGTTCTAATATCAGCATCTTCGGGAGATTGGAGGCTGCACACAAACACGAGACACTTAAACTGATCTTCTATCATTGCTGATAGTTTGAAGCGCTCACATTCACAGTTTAGCAACCCCGCATGCTTCACCCAGTCATCATCACCTGCCTTTGTTATCTTGAGACATTGATAACGAATATTAAACAAGAATGACTGTTCAGCAAAGATTTGCAACAAAATTTCAGTCGTTGCATCAAAAGAAAAATCTCGTGGATTCTTTAGAAGGATAAAGTTACTGTAACGTTCATGTTCAAACGTTCCAAGTTTTCGCAAGAGTATTCTGACCTTAGCGGCGTCATCGAGCTTTTTTAAGTCGACCTTAGACAAATCTTCATATTTCAAATGTAATGCCAGCCGAACCATCGGAATTAAATTCATGGATGAAATTAATGATGTAGTCAACATGAGATCTGAAGGGATCATCTGTAACTTCTTTTTGATTCAGGTTCATTTTCTGGGTTAGCATCTCTATCATGCGCATCTGGAACTGTTCAAAACGTTTTTCTTGACGTTCCAGCAAGGCTTCAAATTGTTCAAAGGTAAATGACATCTTGATACGATAACTCCGTCGCCGGTTGTTATATTTCGAAGGTTGTTTTCTTAATATACCGCGTATAACTGAGAACTAGAACACCAAAACCCTTCCAAGTCGCAATAAGAAGACAGAAGACTAATGAAAGGAATATTATTCCAACAGTGTCATTTATAGTACACAATTGTCAGGTATTTATAGTTTTTAGTAAAAATGAAGTTATCTTTCTCAAAAAAAGTTATCTATGACTGTATTTAATTGGTCTGTATCCTTTATTTCTTCACATTGTTGTGTATCTATGTATGTGGCGCACACGTTTTTCGGTGCCTAGTTGTGCCAGATTTTTATGTTTATTAAATAAAATAAATCGATCAGTGTTTAGATATCTTGTTTTGGGGATTATCCAATACTTGGATAGCTAAATGGTAATGCTTACTGAATATTACAGGTTAAAATCGGTTTCTTTATGATTTGCAGACCCTCTTTCTTGATGAGTGGCAATAATCAAGATACTTAGGTGTAAAGGTTATTATCTATTCTGTATATGCACTTAATGCCAAGTCTATTTATAAGCCATTACAGTGATTGTAAATTCAACTAGTATATAGGTCTTTTCTACCATGGTTAACAGTTCCCAGTGTTAGTTGTATGTTGTAGTATTATGAATGTGGAGCGATTGGCTATCGGTTAAAGCACTCAGCTTTCTATCAGTTGGTCAAAAATTCGATCCTCACTCTATGTACTTCCATTGGTCAATTTGTGTATTATCACTAGCCCTCAAGTAAACACAGTCGCTCAAAACTGTGTGATTGAACCTGTACTCTGTAAATAAATTATGGAGTAATATGAAAATAGCTTTTCAGTGCTACTTCACCCTTCTAAAATTACTCACTAATGATACAAATCGTCATTGAATCATAATTTTGTTATCTGTTGAAATGGCTATGATTTGTTCTTCTCGAAAATATTTGATTATATTTCACCAAGTAGCCTACACGCTCTTAAAGTTTTGTTCATAGATTCTATCAACGTTTCACCTGAAATCATATACTTTCTCCAATTTCATGTGAATGACTACCTTGTTGCGTTAGATTATTTTACAGTTTGTGATTTATTTATAAATTTTGCGCGTAGGAAATATGTGGTGTATAAATAGTAGTTGAATAAATGAATTTTCTATATTTAGTTTTATGTATTGTTAAGTGTAGGCTTCCTTATGCTCTAAATTTGTCACTATTTAATGTATTTATTTCATACGTTGTTAAACATTTTGATGTTCTCGTTATTAGTAGGGTTTCTTGTTTTTCTTTACTTCGTATATCCTCTTAATTTTATGTAATTTGTTACTACAGCTAAAGTATCGTGGAGATATCAATTCAAGTCTTGAAACCATAGATGTAGTTGACAGTCGTTTCAAAATGTGTTCTCTAGTGAATCAAAAACACATATTTATTTATTTGAACAGAAATATGTTTTATAATTCAAATTGGATTTATCAGTTCTACTATTGAAATGTTCCAAATATATACTCGTGCTGTTGACGAGTGTTTTTTGCACAGCAAGAATACCCGAGTGAGACTATCTATGATACTGCATATCTTTAATTTCATACAAGTCCTTCCTATTTTTAATCTGAACAAATCCATTTTCGCTTTTAGAATTGACTAAACAAGCATTTATGGACCATTTTGCCATGCTACATTCCCCCGCCTACGCATCAACAATTCAATCAGAACTTGAACGCGAACACAATCGACAAGCTGAGTTATTAAAACACACAAAATTTTTGGAACAGTCTATCGCTAAATTGCATTCAGATGGGACAGATTTATTAAATCGGTTCACAAAACGCGTAAGTTTATTTATGCATTCGAATGATAATATACTTGCTTTTAATTTGAATGGTGACTCTTTGATCTTCACATTCATTTGAATAGTTTATGTCCGTTATTAACAATTAACGACATTTTTTTGAAGAAGCTAGTCATTATGTTTTATTAGAAAACAGTGATCTGTAAATTATATGAAACCGTTCTTTTTCCGCCTGTTACTCCCAATGGAGCATAGGCCGCCGACCAGCATTCTCCAACGCACTCTTTCCTGGGCCTTCTTTTCTAGTTCCATCCAATTCTTGTTCATTTTTCTCATACGTGTCTCCATTTCTCGGCGTAATGTGTTCTTTGGTCTTCCTCTTTTCCTTTCGCCTTGAGGATTCCATGTGAGGGCTTGTCTTGTAACGCAGTTGGTTGCTTTCCTCAATGTGTGTCCTATCCACTTCCAGCGCTTCTTCCTGATTTCTTCCTCCGCTGGGATCTGGTTTGTTCTCTCCCACAGTACGTTGTTGCTAATAGTGTCCGGCCAATGGATCTGAAGTATTTTGCGTAGACAACTGTTAATAAACACCTGTATTTTCTGGATGATGGCTTTCGTAGTTCTCCAGGTTTCTGCCCCATACAGTGGAACTGTCTTGACATTTGTATTGAGAATTCTGACCTTGGTGTTGGTTGACAGTTGCTTTGAGTTCCAGATGTTTCTCAGTTATAAATATGCTGCTCTTGCTTTACCGATCCGCGCCTTCACATGTGCATCAGATCCACCCTGTTCGTCAATGATGCTGCCCAAATATGTGAAGGATTTTACATCTTCCAAATGTTCTCCGTCAATTGTGATTGGATTGGTGCATGCTGTGTTGTATCGGAGAATCCTGCTTTTCCCTTTGTGTATATTGAGACCTACTTCTGCTGAGGCTGCTGCCACACTGTTTGTCTTCTCCTGCATCTGTTGTTGCGTTTGGGATAGAAGGGCCAGATCGTCTGCGAAGTCTAGATCATCCAACTGCATCTTAGATGTCCATTGTATCCCGCGCTTCCCTTCAGACGTTGACGTCTTCATGATCCAGTCGATCACCAGGAGAAAGAGAAAGGGTGAGAGTAGGCAACCTTGCCTAACACCGGTCTTCACTTCGAACGACTTTGTCAACTGTCCTCCATGCACAATTTTGCAGTGTAATCCATCATATGAGTTCTGTATGATATTGACTATCTTCTGAGGCACGCCGTAATGTCGAAGAAGTTTCCATAGTGTTGTTCTGTCCATGCTATCAAATGCCTTTTCGTAGTTAATGAAGTTGATGTAGAGTGATGAATTCCATTCAATTGATTGTTCCATAATGATCCGTAGAGTTGCGATTTGGTCTGTACACGATCTATCCTTACGGAATCCTGCCTGTTGGTCACGAAGTTGGGCGTCTACGCAGTCCTTCATCCTGTTTAACAATACCCTGTTGAAGACTTTTCCCGGTATTGAGAGAAGAATGATGCCCCTGTAGTTATCACACTTGCTGAGATCGCCTTTCTTCGGTATTTTGATCAGAAGTCCTTCTTTCCAGTCTGTTGGTACTTGTTCCTCATCCCAAATCTTATTGAAGAGAATGTGTAGTATCCTTGCAGTTGCCGCTACGTCTGCTTTTAGTGCCTCTGCTGGGATGTTGTCCGGTCCTGCTGCTTTGCCACTCTTGATTTGTCTGATGGCCATGCTGATCTCTTCAATTGTTGTAGGCCAACATTGATTGGGAGGTCCGTGGGTGAAACCGTACTTAAAGACAAATCCTATTTTAGATCGTTAGCGAATAGTTAGACTTGTCATCGATACTGAAATGAATTGGTTGCATTCATTCTGTGCAAATGATTTTATTTGATGATTCAGACTTTAGTCGGTTAACCCATTTTACTTGAATTTATGTTCTCTTCTTATGATTGACTCTCTTTCTTATGCCATAGTAGTCTGTGTATATACCGTTCATTGCATAATTATGTTATACAGTAATGGTGAATTAATATAACGGTTGGTTTTCCACGTTTACACGTATGGGACGTTAATTTACCTTAGACGAATATCTACACTAGATTCCCTCCCAGTGTCTGTTCTACAGGACTTCAACACAACTCAGATCAAGAACACGTGACTAGCCTGACTAGAACGTAAATATATTCCCACACCAAAACCCGACACAATCCAACAGCAATGAGCAATCAATAATAATCACTATAAGGATAGAAGAATATATGATTCATCTGACACCTGTCAGACTGTCTGCATGTCTGACTAAGCAGACAACCAATCATTATCATTCTCGCCCACACATCATAAAAAAATAATGTTTCATCAATATTATTTTATTTGATGTTCTTCATTTTCTATGTGTTTGAATGGTATTCGCCAATCATATTACCAGTATCCTTGCGATTATCTTTTTCATTAAGATGTAGTAGTTGTTGTTGTTGCGACTTTACAAATATATTTTTTCTATTTTATTATAGTAAGAAGCGTTTAACGTCAATGATTATATAACATTCATGATTAATGACAAATTTTTTCCATCAATGCTATCCCTATAAAACATTCTCGTCTCATTATATATATATATATATCTTCTTTTTTAAAGAACAAGCGAAAGGAAAACGAAACCAACTACTAAAATGCCTCTAGTTGCATTATTTACTGTTTAGCGTCGTGTTGTGTCCTCTTTGTCAAAGCACATGAGTAACTTATTCACTTAACGTGGGTACTTAGAAAAATGAAATCGGAAAACTTTGCTGCAATAATTGTACATTTGGGTACTAAGATTTTCAAAAGTTTGATCTCATTCTCTATCTTAGTAGCCTTGAATGATAATGCTCGTGGATGCACTTAAGAACAACACTTTTATAGATTTTTGCATTTGTTTGAACTTTTGCTTTCACCTACCCTATGGCTTCATAGTGTCATTCATGAGGTCGTGGTACATCTAAATGCAACAATAATAATAATAATCATAGGAACTAAAGTTCGCTATTACACATGTCTTTCGAAATGTCATATTGTAACGTTCAGCATTAAGTAGGTTTGAATCCAGCCTGAAGGTACATTGTTTACTGCGGGAATGTAGAAAGTAGTGTGTGAAAGAGAATTTCAACGAAAACATAACGAAATAAAAAGTAAACCGAAGACTTAGTAAGTACGTTAAATACATTTACATTTGATTGTAATAGGGGTCAACAGCAATTAACAGTATCACAAATGTAAGATTAAGATAATCTGATAATCTAGATAGGGAGCTAGAAGCGCAAGGTTTCAAATACGTTACTAAATATTTTGAATAATTTTACTTCTAATTATTCTTTGCCACCAATTTTATTTCAGAGTGATTATTTTTGTTGTTTATTCTCAACTTCTTACCTTGAAAAAACAAAACAGCTAGGTATCCTAATCACCACACCGGCTGCATTTTTCTCTCAAGCTCGAAGGTTAATCAAACAGCATCATGTTTTGGAGGAGAAGATTGCTGAATTTCGAAGGCAGGTACGTTCTTCACAGTATGCATGGATGTAGTTATGTGATCGTTATGTTTACAATTTTCATAGCCATTTTATTTTTCCCATACAATTCATCAACCTTCAACCATTAGATTGCCAGTTCTAATCTATTCTACGTAATTCGGTTTTGAATAGTCAGGCAGGCAGTGTTACCAACCCTCATAAAATTAAACTTCGACTCAAAGCTGAGTACATGTTATATCTTGAAGTTTGTTTTCTTGATATACCGCGTATAACTGAGTACTAGAACACCAAAACCCTTCCAAGTCGCAATAAGAAGACAGAAGACTAATGAAAGGAATATTATTCCAACAGTGTCAATTATAGTACACAATTGTCAGGTATTTATAGTTTTAAGTAAGAACGAAATCATCATTACAGTCCACCGGTCCTCATACAGAGGGTTATTAGTGTTGTCCAATCAGGAAGCTACACGCAGGAATTCTAGAATACTCTACCAAAAGGTGATTAGATGGAATATCTTCGGCTCCTTCTGAGCCTCCTACAGCTTCCTCAAGTTCATCCGTGGTCCGTCATCTCAGAACATAAATATCAATACTCTTTAAGTGAATTGTATTACATTTCTTGTAAATGAAATTATGAATTATTGACTACTGATCTAAGGGATACGTAGTTATATAGATTTGACAAGTGTCTGACGGAATCTCGACACAGATTGGCTTTTGAATTAATGACGAGTTTACAGCTCAACAAATAACTTGTGGTCTGAGCCATGTTGGTAGATGCAGAGTACTTGGTTGAGGTCCGCCCGACTATCGTAACCAGTGGTTGGAGACTCATACTGACATGCATCTGGATCGATCACAATGGCTTAGGTTTATACACTATTTGTCTTCCCTTAATCTATGAGATTAAAATCGCTCCATATCTTTCATTCTACGAACGAATTGTTTCTTCCTGTACTGTGTCCTTATATTCAATCTTTAATATATTACCACCACTGAATTAACTACTTCTGTGAATTTGGTGTTCATCTTGTTGGGCGAATTGGACCGATGGATATGTGTTCCTGATCCTACGTTGTAGCTGACTGACAGCTCAACAGTTCTATCTATTCTGTTTTATGGCTGTGAAACGTGCTATTTAAAAATAGAGGACACTCGTAGGTTATTAGATTCGTTCATAGATGTCCTCGAAACATTGCTCGTGTATTTTCGGACCATCGAGTTAGCAGTACTAAAGTTAGACACAGAGCATGAGTAAGGGTGGCAAATCGATTGACAACGTAATGAATCTTTATCGACTGAGAGTGTCCATGAAAAGTTTATTATGTATTGAAGGGTTTGTACACGAACAACTCAGGCATACAACCACTTTTCTCAATTGACCTTATAGATGATGCAATTCAGTGGTTTGAAACGTTATCAATCGTTAGTTCACTTGATATTGTTTTACATGAATCTTCCCATTGATGTTTTTGGACTGAAATTGATCAGTCTCTTATTGGCATATGTGCATACTGTGCGTATGCCTCGATATTGCCTTAATTTACAAGCATTATAAGCAAAGATGGATAGTGGCTAGCAGTGGAATCCAGGACGCGCGTTTCATCCTGTTTGGGACTCATCAGCTGGATGTACCTGCATCTCAGAGTTGATGTTCACTCTGGGACTCAGTAGCTAAGTGGATAACCCGATGGCGTTTGAAGCAAATGGTACTGAGTTCGAGTCCCAGCGTGAACATCAACTCTGAGATGCAGGTACATCCAGCTGACGAGTCCCAAACAGGACGAAACGCGCGTCCTGGATTCCACTGCTAGCCACTATCCATCTTTGCTTGTAATGTTATCAATCGTTGTTGTGAACAGAAGACCGTGGTAACTCTGCCGTAATTTTCCTTTATGGTCGTCGTAAAATGAAGTTATCTTTCTCAAAATATGTTATCTATGACTGTATTTAATTGGTCTGTATCCTTTATTTCTTCACATTGTTGTGTATCTATGTATGTGGCGCACACGTTTTTCGGTGCCTAGTTGTGCCAGATTTTTATGTTTATTAAATAAAATAAATCGATCAGTGTTTAGATATCTTGTTTTGGGGATTATCCAATACTTGGATAGCTAAATGGTAATGCTTACTGAATATTACAGGTTAAAATCGGTTTCTTTATGATTTGCAGACCCTCTTTCTTGATGAGTGGCAATAATCAAGATACTTAGGTGTAAAGGTTATTATCTATTCTGTATATGCACTTAATGCCAAGTCTATTTATAAGCCATTACAGTGATTGTAAATTCAACTAGTATATAGGTCTTTTCTACCATGGTTAACAGTTCCCAGTGTTAGTTGTATGTTGTAGTATTATGAATGTGGAGCGATTGGCTATCGGTTAAAGCACTCAGCTTTCTATCAGTTGGTCAAAAATTCGATCCTCACTCTATGTACTTCCATTGGTCAATTTGTGTATTATCACTAGCCCTCAAGTAAACACAGTCGCTCAAAACTGTGTGATTGAACCTGTACTCTGTAAATAAATTATGGAGTAATATGAAAATAGCTTTTCAGTGCTACTTCACCCTTCTAAAATTACTCACTAATGATACAAATCGTCATTGAATCATAATTTTGTTATCTGTTGAAATGGCTATGATTTGTTCTTCTCGAAAATATTTGATTATATTTCACCAAGTAGCCTACACGCTCTTAAAGTTTTGTTCATAGATTCTATCAACGTTTCACCTGAAATCATATACTTTCTCCAATTTCATGTGAATGACTACCTTGTTGCGTTAGATTATTTTACAGTTTGTGATTTATTTATAAATTTTGCGCGTAGGAAATATGTGGTGTATAAATAGTAGTTGAATAAATGAATTTTCTATATTTAGTTTTATGAATTGTCAAGTATAGGCTTGCGTATGTTGTTTATTTATTTGTTGGAAGTGATTCCTAAAATATTAGTTTTATTAGAGGATTATTTTCTTTGTATCTGAGTTCAATAAATGGTATCCCGTTCACTAAGTATTTAGCGCTGTTTATATCTTTTAGTATAATCATGGATTTCCTGGAGATTGTTCAAAAGTCTGAACATCAGTTGTAAAGATATTTTATTCTTAAAGAAATCTACCATACAAGGAAACGAGTTAGAGTGTATGTGTCTGTATGTATGAATGTATTAAAAACCCATATGCATTTTTGATTGTTAATTCGTTGTGGACAAATTATTGATTTTCACAGATTGAAATCATGAGTCAGTTGAAGCTAGACCACCATTTGAAACCTGGAAGCACTGGACGGCCGTTTCGTCCTAGTATGGGACTCCTCAGCAGTGCGCGTCCACGATCCCGCACCACGCGGGGCTCGAACCCAGGACCTACTGGCTTCGCGCGCGGGCACTTAACCATTAGACCACTCAGCCGGCATCCAACGGTGTTAATGTCTAACTTCAACCAATCCACGAAGTTGCGCCACCATATACCATTGTCTTCAGTGAGCTGATATCTCACAACAAACCTGGTTGTACTCCACTGGTAACGGCTTCCCACTAGAACTCCAGGAGTATCTCTTGAAATCAGTCACTAGTGAGCAGATGATTATTATCAGAAGGGGTTTGTGGAGATATTTAGAAATTCTCACAGATTGAAATCATGAGTCAGTTGAAGCTAGACCACTATGGAAAACCTGGGAGCACTGGACGGTCGTTTCGTTCTATTATGGGACTCCTCAGCAGCCCGTATGCAATCAAGGATGAATTCTACCACCAGTTAACTGTTCTCCAGAAAGTGCGTTCGACAGATATTGTAGTACTAGCCGGAGACTTGAATGTTCAGGTCGGGTGTCTAGACACAAAAGAGAGTCGTTTAGGTGGCCGATGAGGACTTGTTGGTCGCAGGACAGATAACGAGGACCGTCTACTGCAACTGTGCACAGACCACAACCTGTTTCTGGCTAGCACTAACTTCCGGCACAGTCATCGCCGATGTGCCACCTGGCGTCCTCCCTCTGCATCTCAAGCCTGGACTCAGATTGACCACATCGCGATCAGCTACCGCTGGCGTGGTTGTGTACAAGACTACCGCTCCTTTTAGAGTACCTATCTGGACTCTGGTCATGCCCTGTTCTGCGCCAATCTTACCTTACTTTTCAGTGGACAACGAAGTGACCGCCATCAAAGGATTGATGTCAGCAAGTTGGTTTCGACTTCTGTTGCAAGTAAGTATCGAATCGAGCTAGCTTCTAGGCTAGCTACCATTCCACCGAAAAGTATAGATGAGCATTGGTTGCAACTGCATGACGCCATGAAAATGGCGAGTAGAGCCGCTTGCGGCTTCGCGAAACGTCCCACTTATAAGCACTGGGCTTCTTCAGGTCCTTGCAACTCATCGAAGCCCATCGGTCTACTCCGGGTGATCGTGAGTCTGACCACAAACGAAGGCTGTTACGTAATGAAATCGGGCAAAGCTTGCGTAAGGACCGAGAAGCCTGGTGGTCGGAGCGTGCTAATGAGTTGGAAGCAGTAACTGCATCTGGTAACTACCGGAAGCTCTTTCCACTCATCCGAGCCACTGGCAGCAAGAAGTCTGGTGTGAGCGAAACAATTTGCGAGGATTACGGGATGGCAATCACTAGCATCCACCGACGTCTTGTACGATGGGCAGAATTCTTAGAAGGGCAGTTCGACTGGTCTGCTGCTCTGGCAACATCGGTCAGACTGTCCTGCCCTCCATGGCCAGTGACGACTGATGCACCAAATGAGGCGGGAGTCCGCAAGGAACTCCAACTCTTGAAACGCTACAAATCACCGGGCCCAGATGACTTACCTTCGGCCCTTTTTAAAGATGGTAGTGACTTTCTGACTAAGGAATTGACGACGTTGTTTACAAAGGTTTGGGAGCTGGAGAGTGTACCAATGTCGCGGAATGAGTCGATAGTTGTCCCTATCTTTAAAAAGGGTTCACGTCGTTCCTGTAACAACTATCGGGGGATAAGTCTACTTCCGACTGCGTCCAAGCTATTGGCTTCCGTC